AAAAAAAAAAAAAAAAAAAAAAGGCACTCAGAGACAAACACTATATTATATAGTGCTGGCTGAAATTGCCTTTTGCTCTTAATACCTAAATACATAATACATCTGTTAAAATGATGGTATTTTTAAGTATTTCTCCTTTGCAGTCACTGCTATTTGCTGCAGGCTTGCGTCCTACACCTGCTCAAGCAACTGCAGTTAGCTGGGTAAGTTTTTTATCTAGTTGGCAAGCTTAACACATGAGCTCCTTAATTATTTTGTCCATTTCCCTTTCCGTTTTTTTGGAGGTATGTTACGATTGTTTTGTTTATTTACAGATATTAAAGGATGGCATGCAGCATGTAGGAAAGCTCATATGTAGCAACTTGGGTGCACGGATGGATTCTGAGCCTAAACGTTGGAGAATTTTAGGTTTACATGATGTCCATGGAGCACTGTGCTATGCTGTGATTCTGCTTATTTCTTTAAAGGAGTTGTTACTGCACGAATTGATTCTATTACTTGCATTTCTCTGTCACATTATAAAGATTTTAATTATATTAGCTTTCTATGCTGCAGCTGATGTTCTGTATGACTTGGGGACTGGTTTAGAAGTTATGTCTCCTTTATGCCCACATCTGTTTCTTGAAGTAGCCGGCCTTGGCAATTTCGCAAAGGCAAGTTTCTATGCGTACTAATAAAGAGGTGCATTGATTGGACTATTCAGGGAGATCTATAAACTTATGAACGACATTGATCCGATGTAGATTGTATTATACATTTATTTCTTGTTACTCCGTCTATTCCTCTGGCAGACATGATTTCCCTTTTTTTTTTCCTCATTCGAAAGTTCTCCCCTATTATCCTGAATTGATAAATAGTATTCTTTTAACAGCATTTTTTTGTTTTGTTTCATAGAGCAGGAGCAAAAAATACTGCTCAATATATATAATACAAGAACAGATCTATCGAGAAGTTAATCTTATGTACACTATATACCACCTTTTTTTCGTTCATCGTTACACTTTATATATGAAGTATAATAGGATTGAAAATTTTGTATAGAGGAAACTGTAATTTCCAGAACTCTGAGAGAATGACACGACTTACTCTAACGTCGCAATTTCTTTTATGATAAAATCTCCCTTGAAAGAGTAATATTTCTCCTTTTCGAGTACTGTTCATTTACTTTATCTATCTATGAAAGAAATATTATTAGTCAAAGCTTAACTATGGTATATTTTGAAAATTGTAAATTATATAAGCTTCTGTTCTGTGATTTGTGAGATACTTGTTGCCAGCAATGTTAACGAACCCAATTTTTTTAAAGAGAAAAACTTCTTTGGAGTTGTCAGGGAATGGCAGTTGTTGCAGCTAGAGCAACAAGATTGCCGATATATTCTTCATTTGCCAAAGAAGGAAATCTTAGTGATCTGTTTGCTAAAGGCGAGGCTATTTCCACTCTTTTTAATGTTCTCGGGCTCGGAGCAGGAATTCACTTAGCATCTAATATTTGTTCATCAATGCAGGGAAAGGTACTGTTTTATTACCACTAAAGGTGTATTATCTACATTTCTTTTATTCTGCTTTGACCCCTTTTCTATCGGAAACAACCTATCTGTCTTTCTAGGGTAGGGGTAAGGCTGCGTACATCTCACTATCCCCAGACCCCACTTGTGGGAAAATACTGGGCTTCTTGTTGTTGTTGTTGCTTTGACCCTTTTATATGGCTTCCAAATCATGTTTAAACTAGGAGTATTAAACTTTGATGCGATTATAAAATCCACTATGCAGAATTGTTGGTTTGACATCACCGTGAACTGTTAACTATGCCATGTGTTACTTTGATGAATAGACACCTGGTGTTGTAACTCTGGTACTTATAGGAGTAGTGCACTCATGGTATGGCTCCAGCTTACAGGAGCTGCAAGGTTTTCCCTGAATACTTTTTCTGGCGGTAGCATGAAGAGTTCACAATTTAAAGCTGTAAGATTCTTTAGATAGTCCATGAAGCATACTTTTTGTAAATGGTAAGACATACAACATATTTAAATGGTAATCTTTGAAACATACTTATACTGGTGTTTGTTATGTGTATATGGAGAGAGAGTATAGAGAAAAGGGAGTGCAAAAGTGTGAGAATTTTATCTTTAGAGCCTACTAATAATGCTTCTGAAAGTAGTAATCAAGTAAGAGTGATGGTAACATCAGTTATATTGGTTGTCATATTCTTTTTGTTGATGCCATCTTAGCGTTAGCTGAGTCTGAGCTTTGTACCTAAGTTAATGAAATCCCATGTATGCTTCTCTCTGTAGCTATCTAAATTTATTTTCCTTTGTTGTGCTTACAAACCTCAAGCTGGTAGAAGTACAAGAAGAATTTGTGTCCTAAGATGTCCAAAATCACATTGACTTGAAAAAGTTACTAGACATTCTCGGTATGTGTGCTTCTCAAACCTCGAATATGAGAAATGAAATTGTAGGAACTTTTGTTCCAGGGGTCCTTTGGCTTCTACTCCCTTCTGAGCTCAGTTTTTACCAGAGCATGGTAATACAATCATGTAGACTGTTTAGCCCAATTACGTGTAGAGAACGCAAGGAAGTGGCTTGTCATGTAAGGTTCACAGTGTTGAGTTGTTATTGCAGTTGATTAGAGGGTCCTTTCCGATTCTGAAAATATTGAATACCCTGCAGTTGGTTGTTGCGCCACTGCTGTCTATTATACACGTTTACAGTGTCTGTGAAGAAATGCGAGCTACTCCTGTCAACACATTAAATCCGCAGAGAACTGCAATGATTGTTGCCGAATTTGTGAAGGTACATATCTAAAGTTGCAAAGGTGAGACAGATCGAATACCATATCAATTAACTGAGTTCTCCATTATATTATCTAGACTGGAAAAATCTCAAGTCCTGCTGACCTAAGATATCAAGAAGATCTCGTATTTCCTGAAAGGCTGATAGAGGATGCTGGAAATGTAAAGGTGGGAAGGTCTCTGCATGAAGTAGTTAGCCCTTCAAAGCTGCGACAATTTAAAGAAACATTTCACGAGGAGAAGTTCCTTTTAAACCGTGGTAGTAGATGGACTGATATGATACTGGAGCACGATGCAACTGGTGAAGATGCACTGAGGGGTTGGATGGTTGCTGCTTATGCTTCAGATATGGAACGATTAGCTAGGGAACCAAGTACAAATATCTCACAAGAGGCTTATGAGAAGATGAATTCTGTGTTCTCCCCATTTTTAGCTGAGCTGCAGGCAAAAGGGTGGCATACTGATCGATTTCTTGATGGTACTGGAAGTCGTTTTGTGTTTTAGTTCTGTAAGTATCAAATTCTTGGTACTTTGTTATCCTCTTACATCGGTATAGTATATTGTCATGAAGACACAAGATTCACTGCATCATTTAGGAAGACTTTGGGGAAATGTGTCTTGTGAAAGCAATACAGAATCTCTTACTACTGGGACAAAATGTAAGCAATAGACTTTTTTTTTTTTCCTTTCAAAACACGCACAATTTGTTTAAGGTGGCAATGTCCATGAAAAAATAGCATGGGTTTTCCTCTGATCACTATATCAAAGAGGCATTTGATAATTCCAATTTATTGGGAGTTCAATGGGCTATGTGTGGACCAAGTGTTCACTATTATGGTGTAGTTTTATCTATAGCCACTTTGCGAACTGTTTTTCTCAAGGATTTCCCCTTTTTAGTCTTCCTATACACTGGCAACTATTTTAAAAAGGTGCAGACCTGTGTTACCTTTTTCTTAAGTGTTAAAACCAATTGGATATCTGATGATATATTCAGTATTATTATCGCAAAATTTGCACATTGCATTTCGGCGCATGCATCAACGTGGGAACTGACGCTCTTTTTTGGTTGCAGCAAGTACATGTCCTGTGGGGATAGCTGAAAACGTAGACAGTGATGAATGGATGTATAAGAGGGGATGAAATAAATTTGAGACTTCCAAACGTTTTTTATTATATAAATAAAGGAAGTATTATATTAATACTAAGGAGGTTCTGTTATGAAATATTATATTACATAGTGGATGTCTATAACTCCTAAAGAAGTTACTCCCACTACTCTTTTCCATTAACCTCCCATTACATTGTACCATTATAGTTGTAATTCTCACACTTACATAATCTCCTCTGTGATCTTCCCTCATGATCTTAATAGTTAATACCATGTTCATGGCGTCCCTTTTATTACCTCAATATTATCCTATAAATAGAGGGTTTGGGCATCACATTGCACACACTTGAAAAACACTTGATGAAATAAGAAAGCTCTCTCTTCCTCTTTACATCTTTTGTTTTTCCTTGTTTCATATTGTTACTTTAAGCTTAGTTTCTTAACATGTTCTCAGCATGAAGCACTAACCAAGTAAGAAGATAACTTATTTGATGATAGATTTATGAATGGCCGACAACCTTCAATAAATTTGGTTGAGCCTATGGAAATCTGGGCATCTCGTATGCCATATCAATGTTATGTTTGCTTCTATTATAAAGGGAGTATCATTTTTCAATTGCCATGAATTCTCCAGTTAACTTACGTTAATATTTAAAACTTGGTCTAGTTTGTGTTACTTTACAATTTAGTTTCATTTATGCAGATGTATATATATTGAGTACCTCTGCTTTCGAGTAGCAAAGAAGAGTATATTTCGATGCCTTGATATCATCTTCTATATATACTTCTCTGACAGTTTGCGAGCCAAGATTATGGAATTGTTAACTATTGAGAAGGTTTTTAATTAATCTTAAAAATAACAACAACAACAACAACAACGACCCAGTATAATCCCATAAGTGGGGTCTGGGGAGGNGCTAGTCTCACTCTATTGTGCTGTAGAAATATTCACAACTTTTCCCTAACCTACAACCTTAATGCTCGACCTCCATAATTCCCTGTCAAGGGCCATGTCCTCAGTAATCCTAAGTCGCGCCATGTCCTGTCTGATCACCTCTCCCCAATACTTCTTAGGTCGCCCTCTACCTCTCCGCGTGCCCACTACAGCCAGTCGCTCACACCTCCTCACCGGTGCATCAGTGCTCCTCCTCTGAATGTGCCCGAACCATCTGAGTCTTACTTCCCGCATCTTGTCCTCCATGGGGGCCATGCCCACCTTCTCTCGAATATCTTCATTCATAATCTTATCCATCCTTGTATAAATTTATTTTGTGGTCAAAATAAATTTTGTATGACTAAGATAGTTCTATTCCCTATATATTTGATCATGTGGTTGTTCGTTTAGCGCACATCCTTATTTCCGTAATACTGTCAATTTCAGGGACAAAATTTAAACACAAACCCAAAAGAGTCCCTTTTGTGTCATTCTCCCCCTAAACAGTACCTAAATTTAATCAACGGAAAAGGCCTAAAGTACCTATCGATGTCATCCGTTAAAAGTTTGTTATTTTCATGCCACTACCGTTATACATTTGGCTCATCTATGCCATTACTTGACTAACGGCTAAAAAAAAATTAAAAGTATTTATAAGACCCACATTTGGTCCGACTTAACCCATGCCCTAAATAATTTTAACTTTAGTTAGGCCTATCTACCCAAACCCAACCCGGTTAAAACATACCCAAATCATTAACCCAAACCTAATTTCAACCCAAATCTCTTTAATCAAAGAAGGTTAATTTCAAGTTCAATGTTAATTTCAACCCAGTTAAAACATACCCAAGAAGAAGGTTAGTTTCAAGTTCAAGGTATGTTCTTGGGGGTTTGAATAATTGAGTTTTACAGTAAATTGGTTTTGTTCTTATCTGCCTTTTAACTCCTAATCGAAAATGCATTATCTGTATTTTTACCCGAAATCGAGGATCCACCAATGAAATAATAATAATTTTTTTTCAGGCAACCATTGCTCATCTCAAGGATAAACCGATGCAGGCGCAGCCCCAATCATCATCAAGTTTTGGAGTGAGCAGTGGTGTTAGGTCAGCTGCAGCAAGGTTCTTAGGTGGAAATGGTAGTAAAACACTTAGTATTGTTGGAGGAAATGGTGGAAGTAAGTCTATTGGTGGCATGAGTGATAGGGTTGGATCATTTAGCGTGTCAAGTTCAAGCAATTCTCTTGGCAATTCGAACTTTGAAGGCAAAGGAACCTATTTAGAGTTCAATGTTGGTGATGCAATTTTTATCAGTGACTTGAATTCTCGAGATAAGGTATCCTCATCAACAGATTTTGCTTTTCTGAGATGGTAGATTTGATGATACAGATGAAAGAGACGACCGAAGAGTGAAGGGGATTTGGTATGAAGGGCTAGGTTTGGGTTAATAATTTGGGTGTGTTTTAACCAGGTTGGGTTTGGGTAGATAGGCCTAACCAAAGTAAAAATTATGTAGGGCATGGGTTAAGTAGCACCAGTAATGACAGGACACATGGAAATGTGGGTCTTATAAATATTTAAAAAAAAATCAGTCGTTAGTCAAGTAATGGCATAGATGGGCCAAATGTGTAACGATAGTGTCATGGAAATAGCAAGCTTTTAGCGGATGGCATCGATAGGTCATTTCTGTAAGTTGAGTAGTATTTTTAGGCCTTTTCCATTTAATCAATGATATTGACCGTGGAAAATGTTCCAAAGTACTATTTTCCATCTTTAGAACAGTCACAACCTGAGTAGAAACTATGACAAGAATTATGTGGTATCATAAGAGATCAAGGATTTCAAATCTCCAAACAAGTTTCAATACCAAATTAACTGGCAAGTACATCCTGCAGGACACGTAGCAAATAGTACTTCATCCAGGAACAACAGAACACAGGCTGGACCTTATGTCTTAAATCAAATCTTAAGCCACGATCTCCATCATTTCAACCTTGCGAAGAAAAATATATTCCAGGAAATCTAGCAAGACTACAAAGCAGCGTCGTTATAAGAAAAAGTTGGTGATGAGAATAAGTAGAGCTTTCTTATAGGCGGCTGATAACATCTTCCACCTCAGAAGGTGAGTAGAGATGGTAAGTTGGAGATACCCTTGCAATGTCAACATTATTTGGAGTCACCTGGCATCATATGGTGGATTATTTTCCATAAATAGATAAGTAGAGCATATAAGTCTGCATAAAAAATACAGTAACATGAAACTTACCTTTTCTTCCATCACTTGCTTAAGAATAGAGAGTGCTATAGCTTCAGCTTCTTTAAGGGTAAGGTCCTGCAAAATTAGCAAACAGGTAGAAGTGAAATCCACTTTTAAAACCACATAATACTTTTATTAGGCTTACTTCAAGAATATAGCAGTCTGCTACCAACAACTTTAGTTTAGTTGGAGCACGTTTATTGGCTTTATCCTCTTTCTTTCCCTGGCGGCCGCAGAGAGTTTTTTTTTTGGGGGGGGGGGGTTGGTGTTGTGTGTTGTTGAGGACTGAGGAAGTCAGTAGCATCAACCAACGAACAGCCCGAAAGGCTGGAGTCATTGTATAAAGACAACTCATAATTTCATTAGGATGAGATATGCAAACTAATTAAGAAGTTACCTTGTTATATTGCTCCTGCAAAGAGCTGTCAGCACCTTCAGAACCTGAACCAATAGCTTTTGCATTGCATTGCCAGAATGTTCCAGAAGGATCAGTATAGTATCTGCATATTGCAAGGTCCACAGTTAACACGAGAAGTCCATAACATCATACCAGATGGCCACAGGAATTAATGTGGGAACTACATCTGACAGAAAATTTGCTCAAAATGCCAAATGTCTTCATATTAGTTTTACATAATTTCACATCCTATATAATTCCCAGGAAAACTTCAATAAACAATAAGTCTGGTATTAGTAGCTCGTACAATTATACATTGATGAGGCAAATTTTCTGCCATTAAAAAAGCTTCTAGCAACTTCTTTAGTAACTTGGCTAATTTGTAGCGTCATCTTCTACAGCCTCAAAATGGCCTTCTTCAGGCTTAAGAATTTGATCATACATAAATGACCATCTTGCTATATTGAGATATCTCCGGAAGATAATAAGGAGAGGTTCATTCACGTCTAGAGTAAGGACTCGTCGCAACCTCATCCGTGTTGTGAAACATGGAAGTTATATTTATGCAAATGGCAGAAGTTTACACTTATCTTACTTATCCTGACTGTTAGATATGTAGTCTTGTCCCACATTGGAATAAGAGTAGTATGTCCTTGTATAATATAGCTATAAATAAAGACCTCTTGTATTGTATTGAACACACAATATCAATATATCATATTTTATCCCGTGCCTTCTCACATGGTATCAGAGCTATCGTGAGAGATTTATCGCTGTGCATAAATTCCAACGATTCCGGGAAGTGAAATCAGTCACCGGAACCCTTTTTCCGGCGACTTTCAAAGTTGTTTTGCGCTTTGTCTCGGTCAGTATTGTGAAAAAAATCCAACATTACCACAAGAATAGTCACTGTCCGGCGACCAAACCCCAGTGAAAATCTTCGGCGGTACTGTAGCTGCCCGAAGAAAATTTTCCGACAAAGTTCCGACGTCGCGTGGGCCACCTTCCGGCCATTTTTTGGCGACGACTCTTCAGGATAAATTGTTCCCCTTGCAATTCCGAGCCTATTCATCTAGGTTACGCCAAATTCCGACCACTTTTATATTTTTCCGGAGTGAATAGTGATTTCAAAAGTGGACTTCCGACAATTTTTTGAAAAAGTTCCTTCAGAACAGTTGGGTCTTCTGGTAATTCCGATCCTACCCCTACTGTTTTTATTTCATTCCGACCACTTTGAATATTTTTCGGCTGCTACAGTAATATTCCGAGAGCTATAGTATTTCTGGAATGAACAGTGTTTTCCGGCGCAGAACAGTGTTCTGTTTTCCTGCTGTAAAAAAGTGTTTTCTCAGCGATTTCTTCAGTTTTCCCAAAGGAGTTACTAATTTTCACTATTTCAAGTTAACCCTACCACTATTAATTGTAGCGACATGGGAACCGATACTTCGAATAGTCGGATGGTTTCTTTAGTGGATTATTTTGAGTTTCTTCAGTACAAAGCAGGTAAGCAGACATCTTCTGAGATAGATTCCGTTGTTCAAACAGGTAATAACGTGACTTGTGTCTCTCAATCTTCATCCTCTGAGTCTTGGATCATTGATTCAGGTGCATCGGATCATATTTCCGGTAACAAATCTCTTTTCACCACTATTTCGTATTCTCAATCTCTTCCAAGAGTCACAATGGCCAATGGGTCTCAAACCATGGCAACTGCAATAGGTCAAGCAAGTCCAATTCCTTCCTTATCTTTAGATTCAGTTCTTTATGTCCCTAATAGTCCTTTTAATCTCATAGCTGTTAGTCGCCTAGCCAAATCACTTAAATGTGCCATTTTATTTCTTGATGGCCATGTTTTTATACAGGAACACAGAACACAGTACAGGGCGGATCATTGGTACCGGGCGTGAATCAAATAGGCTTTATTACCTTATCCTTGCTAAATCACATGGACTCACATCTTGTCTTCCTTCAACAACTTGTCATGTTACTGATTCACCAGATTTATTACATAAACGGTTGGGACATCCTAGTTTGTCAAAACTTCAGAAAATGGTACCTGGTTTATTTCACTTGTCAGCTCTAGAGTGTGAGTCTTGTCAGCTCGGTAAGCATACTCGCTCTCATTTTCCTCGACGTATTGATAATCAAGCAGAGTCCCCTTTTACTTTAGTCCATTCAGATGTTTGGGGTCCTAGTCGGGTCAGTTCTACCTTAGGATTCCGCTACTTTGTTAGTTTCATTGATGACTATTCTAGGTGTACCTGGATATTTTTGACAAAAAATCGATCTGAGTTGTTTTCTATTTTCCAAACCTTTAACGCTGAAATTCAAAATCAATTTGGGTTTTCAGGAGATATTGTTACAAAGTTTGTAAAGTCGAATGATCAACTAGCAGATATTTTCACTAAGTCTCTTACTGGTTCTCGTATTAGTTACATGTGTAACAAGCTCGGTACATATGATGTGCATGCACCGGCTTGAGGGGGAGTGTTAGATATGTAGTCTTGTCCCACATTGGAATAGGAGTAGTATGTCCTTGTATAGTATAGCTATAAATAAAGACCTCTTGTATGTATTGAACACACAATATCAATATATCATATTTTCTCTCGTGCCTTCTCACATGGTATCAGAGCTATCGTGAGAGATTTATCGCTGTGCATAAATTCCAGCGATTCCGGGAAGTGAAATCAGTCACCGGAACCCTTTTCCCGACGACTTTCAAAGTTGTTTTGCGCTTTGTCTCGGTCAGTGTTGTGCAAAATCCAACACTACCACAAGAGTAGTCACTGTACGGCGACCAAACCCCAGTGAAAATCTCCGGCGGCACTGTAGCTGTCCGAAGAAAATTTTCCGGCGAAGTTCCGACGTCGCGTGGGCCACCTTCCGGCCATTTTTTAGCAACGATGCTTCAGGACAGATTGTTCCCCTTGCAATTCCGAGCCTACCCATCCAGGTTACACAAATTCCGACCACTTTTATATTTTTCCGGCGTGAATAGTAATTTCAAATGTGGACTTCCGGCAATTTTTTGAAAAAGTTCCTTCAGAACAGTTGGGTCTTCTGGTAATTCCGATCCTACCCCTACTGTTTTTATTTCATTTCGACCACTTTGAATATTTTCCGGCTGCTACAGTAATATTTCGAGAGCTACAATATTTCTAGGGTGAACAGTGTTTTCCGGCGCAGAACAGTGTTCTGTTTTCCTGCTGTAAAAAAGTGTTTTCTCA